AAAAAACCCCAAAAACAACTAAACCCCACCCCAGTCTCTCTTTTCATCATAGTTTAGTTTCTTCACCCTTTTCTGCATTGGTCTGATTTCAATATATTTAATGCATCTGCAAACTTGTGTTGTGCATGGAATTTCTTAATACTTTAATCCATAGTTAGGGAGGAAAAAAATCTTACTTAAAACCTGTAGCTACTCAAGAGAACAGAAATATTATTTCTTGGCATTAGAAATAATCTGGCTAGGTTATTCATGCTGATGGATGAGGCTATGTAGGCTTTTCAGAGTAGTCTTTAGACACCTGAAGGAGATAGGGACTGAATTCGGTGCTGATGGACTGGTGGAAGGGAAATAGTGGTGCAGTGATTACAGGCACTTGTTTAGGATTTTGTAAACCAGGTTTCATTCCTGCCCTGCCACAGACTCCCAGTGTGACTCACTTCCCCATCTTGAAATGCGGGTAATAGAGCACTTCCTTGTTCCACAGATCTTAATAAAGAAATAACATTTTAAAGCATGTGCTGCTTGTGTTGAACACTGAAACATTTGGATGCTCTGGGAATGGGAGGGCCACATCACTCCCTCACAACTGACAGTGAAGGGCTGAGGGAAATGAGAGCTGTGATTATCCAGCGCTGAAGGGTAGATTGGGAGGTAATTAGCAGATAAAAGTAGGGTGCAAATGTCCATAAGCTCTGCCTTTGTGTCATAGTAGCTCCCTAACCAGAGAGATTTTCTTACAAGGTATTTTCTTTAGAAAGACTGAACACCTTCTGTTGCAGTATTTCTGAGCCTAATGAACTCGGCAGACAAGCACTGTCACCAAGTCATCCTGCTTCGTTAGCAGCTGCCTCGCTAATCATCAGTCACCCATTGCAGTGTACTGGTGGGTGGGTGTCTCCCCTGGCCCCAGAGGAACTCCGGTGTCAAATCGTGCCTGTCAGCATTTGGGAAAGCGGAGCTGCAACTTAATGAAAACTCCAAGAGGAAATGAGAGGCATCTTCCTCCTTCAGTGCTGAGTGAGATTATGCTTTGAAAAGCAATTATCTGGCTGAGGGAGCTTTTGAACCACATGTTTATTAGTGAGGTGCCACAGGTCTCCCTTCCTGTGCGGTTTCCTTAACTGTTTTACCCTGGTTTTGAATAGCATCAGTCTTTTGCATCATTCCCTCCACCTGTGGATCTCCAAGCACTTTCCAAAGAGGTGGCCACCATAATCTCTGTTTGTAAATCAGAAAACCGAAAGATTATATGATTTGCACAAAATCTACCTGCCTTTTTTTCTCGCATGCATGCGTATGCCTGGAAAGGTAATCTCATGTTGGCATTGTTGACTGTTCGGTCTCATACACAGGCAGGGAATAAAAGGATAGAGGGAAAGATGCCTTTCTAGGCTCTGTTTTATGTGGTGCAGGCCAAGAGGCAGCAGAAGAACCAGGTGGAGTTTATCAGTAATGATCTGTTCAGTATTTACTGCTGTATTGATTGCTTGTTGAGTTTAGTGCTCTTTGTCTGGAAAAAGAGATAAAGAATTAAGGATAATCCTGATTTGGGGAGTGGGGCAAGTTTACTAAAGAGCAGTTGCTCATTAGTCTCATAATGCAAGAAAACACGAGCATCAGGTTTAAAATAAAAGTCTTTTTTTACAGAAACTTGATGAAAAATTCATGTCTTCAAACTCCTCCTGCCAGTTTAGACCTCTCCAGAAGTAAATCGTATCCCCGCTAAAACCTGCATTTACTGAAGCGAGATCAGCAGTTATTTAAACTGAAAAAGCCACCATGGTCAGCAGGTTAAAGAGCCTCTTGCAGACTCTTCTTGTTTTACCTTCTGTGACATCTTCAGCAAATTCCTGCCTTGAAAGCCTGGAGCTATCAGGAGGTTCATCAGCTCTGTCAGGCAGGGCTTGTAGGCAGCTCTGCCATACAAAGGCTCCTGGAGATACTTGGCTAACCCCAGCCTGACTCTTCTTCCTCAAATCTAAGAGTCCTAAATGTCATCGCCTGCCCCCGAGTCTGGGCAAAAGCTGAGCAGCAGCAAGGCTGCTCAAAAACCTCCTTGCAAGGTTGAGAATACACTGACTCACGTCTCCTTGTGCAGCAGCCTGTCCAAAAGGAAAGCAGCTTTGTACAAAAGTGACATTTTTATTATCCTGGCCTCGTTTACCCAAAGACGGTAAATGCCAGTGGAAGAGGACGGTGCCTGTGACTATAAGAGGCAATTTCACCTCTCAGACCTCTCTGCTGGAGGGAGCAGTGATTTACAAACTGAAGTCTGAACTCCTGTGAGATGCTTGCACATAATTACCATTATCTGGAGAAGATGCATATGCTTGATAGCAGAGGCAGTTTATTACAGGATGAAGGAGTTAACAAAATCCTTAAATAGGTATAGCACTCCTTTTACAGTATCTTGTCATTTGTGCTCGAGTTTCCCAGAGCAGTTAAACTAATAACAGGATTTAGAGCAGATTTCCTAGAAGATTCTTGTGCCTAGGATCTCACAGACCGTTCATATCTGTATCACAGATTTCAGAGTCGGGGAATTAAGGCAGAGGGAAAAGCAGTGATTTGCTCGGAATTAGAGAAAAAGTACTGAAATAATTTATAACAAAGCTGGTTAGTCTTCAGACATCCAAACCTGTGCTCAAACTGCTTCCCAGTATTATTCCTTTTAAAGAATCTAACGCAGAGTTTCACGTGCTTAATTATTTTCAATAACCACGTACTGAGGTTATGCTTAAGTTTAAACATTAGCAGAAGTTATAATGCCACTGAAGCTGTCAGTAA